GGACCTGAGAAAATACCTGAAGAGATTATAGTCGAAAACTTCCCTAACATGGGCAAGGAAATAGTCACTCAAGTCCAGGAAGCACAGAGAGTCCCGTACAGTATAAACCCAAGAAGAAACACACTGAGACACATAGTAATCAAATTGGGAAAAATCAAAGACAAAGAAAAATTATTGTAAGTGGAAAGGGAAAAACGACAAATAACATACAAGGGAACTCCCATAAGGTTAACAGCTGATTTCTCAGCAGAAACTCTACAAGCCAGAAGGGAGTGGCATGATATACTTTAAGTGATGACAGGGAAGAACCTACAACCAAGATTACTCTACCCAGCAAGGATCCCATTCAGATTTGATGGAGAAATCAAAAGCTTTACAGACAAGCAAAAGCTAAGAGAATTAAGCACCACAAAACCAGCTCTACAGCAAATGCTAAAGGAACTTCTCTAAGTGGGAAACACAAGAGAAGAAACGGCCCTACAAAAACAAACCCAAAACAATTAAGAAAATGGTCATAGGAACATACATATCTATAATTACCTTAAACGAGAAGGGATTAACTTCTCCAACCAAAAGACACAGGTTTGCTGAATGGATACAAAAACAAGACCCATATACATGTTGTCTACAAGAGACCCACTTCAAACATAGGGACACATACAGACTGAAAGTGAGGGAATGGAAAAAGATATTCCAGGCAAATGGAAATCAAAAGAAAGCTGCAGGGGCGTCCCTGGTGGCACAGTGGTTGAGAGTCTCCCTGCTGATGCAGGGGACATGGGTTCGTGCCCCGGTCCAGGAAGATCCCGCATGTTGTGGAGCGGCTAGGCCTGTGAGCCATGGCCGCTGAGCCTGCGCGTCCGGAACCTGTGTTCTGCAACGGGAGAGGCCACAACAGTGAGAGGCCCGCATACCACAAAAAAAAAAAAAAAAAAAAAAAAAAAAAACAAACTCATATCAGATAAAATAGACTTTTAAATAAAGAATGTTACAAGAGACAAGGAAGGACACTACATAATGATCAAGGGATCAATCCAAGAAGAAGATATAACAATTATAAATATATATGCACCCAACATAGGAGCACCTAAATATATAAGGCAACTGCTAACAGCTATAAAAGAGGAAATCGACAGTAACACAATAATAGTGGGGCACTTTAACACCTCACTTACACCAATGGACAGATCATCCAAAATGAAAATAAATAAGGAAACAGAAGCTTTAAATGACACAATAGACCAGATAGATTTAATTGACATTTGTAGGACATTCCATCCAAAAACAGCAGACTACACTTTCTTCTCAAGTGCGAACAGAACATTCTCCAGGATAGATCACATCTTGGGTCACAAATCAAGCGTCGATAAATTTAAGAAAATTGAAATCATATCAAGCATCTTTTCTGACCACAACACTATGAGATTAGAAATGAATTACAAGGGAAAAAAACGTAAAAAACACAAACACATGGAGGCTAAACAATACGTTACTAAATAAGCAAGAGATCACTGAAGAAATCAAAGAGGAAATCAAAAAATACCTAGAGACAAATGACAATGAAAACACGACGATCCAAAACCTATGGGATGCTGCAAAAGCAGTTCTAAGAGGGAAGTTTATAGCGATACAAGCCTACCTCAAGAAACAAGAAAAATCTGAAATAAACAATCTAACCTTACACCTAAAGGAACTAGAGAAAAGAAGAAAAAACAAAACCCAAAGTTAGCAGAAGGAAAGAATTCATAAAGATCAGAGCAGAAATAAATGCAATAGGAAAAAAGAAAACAAGAGCAAAGATCAATAAAACTAAAAGCTGGTTCTTTGAGAAGATAAACAAAACTGATAAACCACTACCCAGAGGCATTAAGAAAAAGAGGGAGAGGACTCAAATCAATAAAATTAGAAATGAAAAAAGAGAAGTAACAACAGACACTGCAGAAATACAAAGTATCCTAAGAAACTACTACAAGCAACTGTATGCCAATAAAATGGGCAACCTGGAAGAAATGGACAAATTCTTAGAAAGGTATAACCTTCCAAGACTGCACCAGGAAGAACAGAAAATATGAACAGACCAATCACAAGTAATGAAATTGAAACTGTGATTAAAAATCTTCCAACAAACAAAAGCCCAGGACCAGATGGCTTCCCGGGTGAATTCTATCAAACATTCAGAGAAGAGCTAACATCCATCCTTCTCCAACTCTTCCAAAAAATTGCAGAGGAAGGAACACTCCCAAACTCATTCTATGAGGCCACCATCACCCTGATACCAAAACCAGACAAAGATACTACAAAAAAAGAAAATTACAGACCAATATCACTGATGAATATAGATGCAAAAATCCTCAACAAACTACTAGCAAACAGAATCCAACAACACATTAAAAGGATCATACACCATGATCAAGTGGGATTTATCCCAGGGATGCAAGGATTTGTCAATATATGCAAATCAATCAATGTGATACACCATATTAACAAATTGAAGAATAAAAACCATATGATTATCTCAATAGATGCAGAAAAAGCTTTTGACAAAATTCAACACCCATTTATATTAAAAACTCTCCAGAAAGTGGGCATAGAGGGAACCTACCTCAACATAATAAAGGCCATCTATGACAAACCCACAGCAAACATCATTCTCAACGGTGAAAAACTGAAAGCATTTCCTCTAAGATCAGGAAGAAGACAAGGATGTCCACTCTCACCACTATTATTCAACGTAGTGTTGGAAGTCCTAGCCATGGCAATCAGAGAAGAAAAAGAAACAAAAAGAATACAAATCGTGGGCTTCCCTGGTGGCGCAGTGGTTGAGAGTCCGCCTACCGATGCAGGGGACACGGGCTCGTGCGCTGGTCCGGGAAGATCCCACATGCCGCGGAGCGGCTGGGCCCGTGAGCCATGGCCGCTGAGCCTGTGCTCTGCAACAGGAGAGGCCACAACAGTGAGAGGCCCACGTACCACCAAAAAAAAAAAAAAGAATGCAAATTGGAAAAGAAGAAGTAAAACTGTCAATGTTTGCAGATGACATGATAGCATACACAGAGAATCCTTAAGATGCCACCAGGAAACTACTAGAGATAATCAATGAATGTGGTAGTTGCAGGATACAAAATTAATGCACAGAAGTCTCTTGCATTCCTATACACTAATAATGAAAAATCTGAAAGAGAAATTAATGAAACACTCCCATAAAAAGAATAAAATACCTAGGAATAAACCTACCTAGGGAGACCTGTATGCAGAAAAGTATAAGACAGTGATGAAAGAAATTAAAGATGATACCAACAGATGGAGAGATATACCATGTTCTTGGATTGGAAGAATCAACATTGTGAAAATGACTATACTACCCAAAGCAATCTACAGATTCAATGCAATCCCTATCAAATTACCAATGGCATTTTTTATGGAACTAGAACAAAAAATGTTAAAATTTGTGTGGAGGCACAGAAGACCCCAAATAGCCAAAGCAGTCTTGAGGGAAAAAAATGGAGCTGGAGAAATCAGACTCCCTCACTTTGGACTATACTACAAAGCTACAGTAATCAAGACAATATGGTACTGGCACAAAAACAGAAACACAGATCAATGGAACAAGACAGAAAGCCCAGAGATAAATGCACGCACCTATGGTCAACTAATCTATGACAAAGGAGGCAGGGATATACAATGGAGAAAACACAGCCTCTTCAATAAGTGGTGCTGGGAAAACTGGACAGCTACATGCAAAAGAATGAAATTTGAACACTTCCTAACACCATACAGAAAAATAAACTCAAAATGGATTCGAGACCTAAATGTAAGACTGGACACTATAAAACTCTTAGAGGAAAACATAGGAAGAACACTCTTTGACATAAATCACAGCAAGATCTTTTTTGATCCACCTCCTAGAGTAATGGAAATAAAAACAAAAATAAACACATGGGACCTAATGAAACTTCAAAACTTTTGCATGGCAAAGGAAACTATAAACAAGACGAAAAGACAATCCTCAGAATGGGAGAAAATATTTGCAAATGAATCAACAGACAAAGGATTAATTTCCAAAACATATAAACAGCCCATGCAGCTCAATATTAAAAAAACAACCCAATCCAAAAATGGGCAGAAGACTTAAATAGATATTTCTCCAAAGAAGACATACAGATTGCCAACAAACACATGAAAGGATGCTCAACATCACTAATCATTAGAGAAATGCAAATTAAAACTACAATGTGGTAACATGTCACACCAGTTAGAATGGGCATCATTGGAAAATCTACAAACAACAAATGCTGGAGAGAGTTTGGAGAAAAGGGAACCCTCTTGCACTGTTGTGTAAATTGAAACAGCCACTACGGAGAACAGTATGGAGGTTCCTTAAAAAACTAAAAATAGAATTACCATATGACCCAGCAATCCCACTACTGGGCATATACCCAGAGAAAACCATAATCCAAAATGACACATGCACCCCAATGTTCATTGCAGCACTATTTACAATACCCAGGTCATGGAAGTAACCTAAATGCCCATCGACGGACGAATGGATAAAGAAGATGTGGTACATATATACAATGGAATATTACTCAGCCATAAAAAGGAACGAAATTGGGTCGTTTGTACAGACGTGGATGGATCTAGAGACTGTCATACAGAGTGAAGTAAGTCAGAAAGAGAAAAACAAATACTGTATATTAACGCATATACGTGGAACCTAGAAAAATGGTACAGATGAACTGGTTTGCAAGGCAGAAATTGAGACACAGATGTAGAGAACAAACATATGGACACCAAGGGGGAAAGCGGCAGGGGGTGGGCATGGTGGTGGGATGAATTGGGGGATTGGGATTGATGTATAAAACAGAGCATAAAAATATGCTCTGTTGGGGGGAAAAAGGATCAACAGTTTCATACAATTTTAAAAAAAACAATCAAATTGAAAGACATTAAATTTAGGTGCCGTATTGAAAGAATATGTGTCAATGCTCTGAAGTGCATACCTGAGGTATGATTGACATTTTCTTCCTTAAATCGTGAAGTCCAATTTCGGTTGTCAAGATCTTATCAATCCAAATTTTACCTTCAGGTTCTGACAGTCTAAAAAGGGCAGCAATGAGGGAACTTTTTCCAGCTCCTGTTCTTCCCACAATGCCAACCTGTAAACAGATACAGGAGGGATTAAGAATTCACAATATGCAACAAACCTAGGAAAACCCTTGGTTGTTGAAGATGAATTTTAAAAGTTCTGTACAGAGTGTAGTCTATAAATTTCTCAACTGTGGCACTGTTGAAATTTTGGGAAAGATAATTCTTCATTGGGGAATGGGGGATGTCCTGTGTATTCTAGGATATTTAGCAGTATCCCTGGATTCTGCCCACTAGATACCAGGAGCACCCCCGAGATTGCGGCAACCAAAAATGTCAGACATTGACAAATATCCCCGGTTAAGACCCCCTGGTCCAAGGAAGAATTAAAAATAACAGAATCAGTCTACTGGCAGTGAAACAACAGCAGTTTCCCATGTGGTCAATTAGCAGTCAGCTTTTAAATGAGTCGTATTCCTAGTGTCTGGCTATTCTGAACATTGAGAATTATGTGAGCAATTTTACAGAGATGTCAACAAGTCAAGTAAGAAGTCTTATACACAAACAAGAATTCAGGATCCCAGATTCTATCATTTAAGAGGAAGTATTCTTTGGCAGAAAAACAAAATCACTTCCTGATAAGAAATACCTTAATAATGCTTTATCTTGAAAGGAAACACCTTAAAATTGTAAAATGCAGGTCTCAGTGTCTTAAAAGGCAGTACCCAGTAGGCAAGATACACATAATGAGACCAACAACAACACCACAAATAACATTTGCTATTTATATGGGACCTTTCATCTGAACACTTCAAAAGGCATTTTACAAACCAATTAATACTTCTAATTAAACCTTGGAAAGATACATGTCATGTATCGGTCAAGTTATTAAAATCAAAGCAGAGAGAAATTAAGTGCATTAACAATAAGATCAAAGAATCAATATAATGCAGGTAAAACGCTGGTTAGGAATGAAACTGTACTGTAAAAACTGGATTTTAGCTGTCTGAATTCAAACATGTATGCAGAAACTGGCCTTTTTTTTTTTTTTTAAACCAATGAGCTTCCCAACTACAAATTCCCTGGTGGGAGCTTCCCAAGAGGTGATTTCATCTCTATTTATAAATCTAAATACAGATGGGGGCCTAAGATATGCTTTCAATCATTTGTAAATTAATTCAGTAAATTTTAAAAACTCATGGCTTTAAACAGAGAAGAACTAAACCCCTCTGAGCACTGATTATACGACGGTAACTTGATATATTTTCTCATTAAATACCTCCAAAGTTTCGAATCTTAGTCTGTAAAAACAATAATCAAATTTCAAAAAAAAATTTATCTTTATAGAGATTAACTGAAAGAAAAGTGGCTTTAGTTGATTTACATTTGTAGCCATTTTGTATGATATGGTAAATCCTAATTTATATAATATAGATGGGACATTTTCTGCATATAAGCAGGTCCTAGAGGGTATATATACATATGGGTCATTTGTTCTGTGTACACGCAGACTTTGAATATACTATGGATTTGGTTCCAGACCACCACAAAAATGGGAATATCACAAAATAAAGCAAGTCATGTGAATATTTTTCTTCCTCTGTGCATACAAAAGTTATGTTTACACTATACTGTAGCATACTAAATGTACAACAGAATTATGCCTAAAAAAGAATGTACATACTTAATGTCCAATACTTTACTGCTAAAAAAGGCTAACCATCACCTGGGCCTTCACTGGGTTGTAGTAAGCTTAAGAACACTGATCACAGCTCACCATAACAAATATAATTATAATGAAAAGGTTTAAAATATTGCAAAAATTACCAAACTGTGACAAAGAGACACGAAGTGAGCAAATGTTGTAGGAAAAATGGTGCTGATGGACATACTCAATGCCGGGTTGCAACAAATGTTCGACTTGTTATTTGAAAAAAAAAAAAAACACACGCACACACGCAAAAACCCCCAAAGAAACAGCGGTATGCCTGTATTTCTGGGTGTTCTCATATGTAAATCAGCACACATCAGAACACAGGTGAGAACTGTGTCTATGAGAATGTGTGTATATTCCTATGCTATTAGCTGTACTGAAACTGATCCATCTGTGCAAACTGGAACATTTGTAGACTCCCGGTAAACGGCGTAGATATGGCAGTGGCACCGAAGGCTGCTTATGGCCACAGGAATGGAAGTACAACACTCCAGTGAGGAAAGTAAGAAAAAAGCAACTCAAAGAAAACACGGCTTAGGCTATTTCTACCATTCAGTTATCAAAACTATAATCTGAAAGTCTTTTCCAGGTCACCAAAGGGTTTTACCAATTGCCTGAGGACAGTGTCACCATTACCAGTTAAGTTTACATTCCTAAAGGCAAAGACACTTAGAGAAAATCTTTACTGGGAGGTCTCCCTCAAAAGTGATGGCGAGTCAGTAGGTCTGGGTGGGCCTGAGATTCTGCATTTCTAAGATGCTCCAGGCAATGCAGGTGCTGCTGGCCCGGGCACCACAGTCTGAGTCACAAGGAATTAGGAAGCCTGCAGGGGAAGTGGGACAATCTGGGAGTGAGGGGAGGGGTTGCCGAGGAAATATTATGTAAAAGAGGAGAAAATGTAGCAAACTGATATTTTTGTACATTATAGCAAGGTCTAGTAAGCATCTGTAAGGATGTATTATTCAAGTAATAGCTCTGAGCAAGAAAAAAAAATAACAAACCAAAATCAATCCACCTCTAGAGCTGGAAAAGGCTTGAAAATGGCCCAGTGCTCTCTAAAATGATCAAATCAACCACAAAATCATCTAAATGAAAAATGCATCCAGTGTTCAGAATCTAACCAGGAAGCCTAGGGTGCTATTTACCTCATTTTGGGTCTTTATTTTTACTTGCTATTTCTTCCATGAATTAGAAACCTGCATAGTGCCTATTAATTTTTCCCATTTACTCGAACTTCCAGAAATTGGGACAGCAGAGGAAAGGATGGAAAGAGAATAAAGCTCCACTTCTGCTGGCCTGGCTCACTCCCACATCCTCCCCTGCAGCAGCCTCTCTCAATCAAATCCAACACCAAAGGGGTGTCCCAGAGCAATGGGGTCTGGGGCAGGTGTGAAGGAGAGGGAAGCTGGGATGTACACAGACGGAGTGAAATGGCTTCATGACTATTCTACCCAGGTATAATCTCCAAACACAGAAATGGAGCTAATGGTGATACTGTGAGTGGATCAAGACACAAATAAAAAGTCACGTTACTACAGTTATTAATTCTGTCTCCAGATTCAATTTTCCCACAAACATTTTCAAGCTCAGCTAATCCTATGACTTGGGGATTTTAAGATAGAAGAATACACATATGTTATGTTCCTAAGTTCTACTGTAGAGTTTCTTAGATAAATTTCCCCAAAAGCCAGAAAATATGAATTAAGACGTGCAAATTAACAAAATTATGTATCAAACAGGAAATATGATGGACACATTGTCGGTGAGTAAGCAAACATCACCTACAGAGTTCTCAGGGACAGGACTGCATCAAGAGCTGCAGTGAATGTTTTCTCGACACAGCAATCCTCACCTCCTTCCCAACCTACGGTGAAACTGGAAATAATTAGAAGCCAGCTTTTGCCGTGTGACTAACTGAAGCTGCTCCCTGGGTATCATTTGGGCATTAAGTTGAATATTCTTTCCCATCACAAGGGTATCATTCATTAAATTATGGCTATAGTCCACTAGATGGGTCTGTGGTGGAAAGAGTTTTAAAGAGCAGTTCTTAAAGTATTTAACACTCTAGGTAATCAGTTGTTTACACAGTTGTCTTGTGTGTGTATTTTGGTTACTGGTTGCTCACACCTGTGCATGTTACTCACTCTCCCAGCCAGCAGTCCCTCAGCACCCTCTCTGTGCCCTGTAGAATGCCAATTTTGGGGGAACAAGAGATGAAAACAAGATGCTCTCTGATCTTAAGGAGCCTCAGGGTTCTGTGAGATACAGACCCACCATTACAAAGCATGCCACAGATGCCACCAGTTAATTGTGGTCAAATACAAATAACATAAAATTTACCAACTGAACCATTTTTAAGTGGACAGTTTAGTGATAAGTACATTCATATTCTTGTCCCTCCAGAATATTTTCTCCCTTATAACAAAGAAACTCTGTACCCATTAAACAACAACACCCAATTCCGCTTACCCAGTCTCTGGTGACCACCATCCTACTTTCTGGCTTCATGGATATGACTACTCTAGGAACCTCATATAAGTGGAATCACATAGTATTTGTTCCCTTTATGTCTGACTTATTTCATTTAACCTGTTGTCCTCAAGGTTTATCCATAAGTTGGAATTTTATTCCTTTTAAGACTAAATCATATTTCATCTAAGTGGAATCACACAGTATTTGTTCCCTTTATGTCTAACTTATTTCATTTAACCTGATGTCCTCAAGGTTTATTCATAGATTGGAATTTTACTCCTTTTTAAGGCTGAATAATATTTCATTGTTAAGGATATAGCACATTTGCTTACCCATTCATCTGTTACTTTCATCATGTACAAGACGCTGAGGAAGAATAGAGGGTCTCAGAGAAGCAGACGAATGAGAGTTGACTCAGAAAATGAGGAGACTTATCACCAGCCACATGATGGAAGGGAAGGGTCTCTGAGGTCAAGGGGCGGCGTGCACACTGGAAGCAGGGAGGACATGATACACTGGGAGAACCTACACGCGACCCGAGTGCAGGGGGTGTATGTACATCAGGACTTGAAGCTGGAGGGGCAGGTGCGGGGAGCTTCCTGCCACCATGTCTGTTCTCATTTAGCCTCTTTTCCAAGAGCTTGCCCTGGTCCTGCCTGAGGGACTGATCTAATCAGCATCCACACAGCAACAAAAAAAGAGGCAAATGGCTAAGACAAACCTTTTCTCTTGATTTAATGAGTGCTGTCAGGTGCTTCAATACCAGAGGCCCATCTAAGCTGTACGAGAAGTTCACATTGTCAAAGACGACCACTCCTTCCTGGGGCCAGGACGGTGGTGGGCGTTTCTGGTATTCCCAGGGTGCTTCTTTTTCCAGATCTGTATATTCAATCACCCTTTCTACTGAAATCATCTGAAAGATAGGACATCGCACGAGTTAGGAACGGAGGGTCTTGTTTATGGATGTTCAAAGACTGTGAATGAGATGCTCTGCATTTATATCATTATATTTGCTTTTATATCTGAGGTCTTAACACCAGCAAAAGACAGAGGTAGTAGTTTGATGTGGACACTGATGATTTGTAAACTTGTTCATTGTCTTGTAACACTTTTATTACGGCTACTTTCTTCAACATTATATTAAAACAAAAAGAACTAGAGAAATGGATACTATGATTTCACTGATCTAATTTTTGCATATGAATTTTAAAAAACAGAGAATTTTGTCAATGAAAAGAATATGTATGGATGCCCACCAGTAGCATTTTGCTACAGAAGGGTCATCTGTTATAGATGAATAGAAATGCATAGTCAGTACACCTCATTTTAATAATTAGTTACTTTCTTCTCTGTTAGAGAGCGAAATAGAAAAGTTTCATTTTCATCATTTTTCCCCCTTTAGGAGGAATTGAAAATATTCGAAACAGCAGAGAATTTTCCCCCTTTAGGAGGAATTGAAAATATTCGAAACAGCAGAGAATTTACATATTGACTAAGGCCTTCTAAACAACTATAACTTGATAGTACATTCAGAGAGAAGGGGCACCAATAAATTCAGGTGTTCAACACATACAAGGAAAAATTCTCAAATGGGGAGGGTGGGCAATAATTAAATTAAATGAATTAAACAAATAAACCTCAAAATACTAAATTCTCCTTTCACCAGGAATGAGGAATTACCCTAGCTTATATCTTCTCCAGGATTTCAGAACCTCCCTCCTACAGAGACATTTATTATATTTGAAGACAGCTTGTGATGAATATAAAACCTGCTGACATGGCATACATAAGACTGAGAAAAAGATGTATATATTTTATTTTAAATAAATTGTAAACAGATGGAGGAAGGATCTAACAAACCCTGTTAGCTATGATGTAAAAAAAAAAAGAAAAGTTTTAAGATTTTTTTTTACATAAGAATTGCCTTTATGTGATGTAATGACAAGGAGACCTGAAGAGGCTAAAAGGTAAATGTTACCATATTTTCAACTTCGGCACTTTGCCTTACGCACCACTGGAACATCCCCATGAGCGTAAGGGCATAGGACAGCGCCAGGCCAACCTGCCCGGCATCCAAAGCTAAATGAGGAAGAAGAAAGGAAATAACTTAGTTCCATTCTTAACCCTGAGTTGGGATCCTACTGTCTCTGTACCAAGACTTCTTTATAATATTTAAAACACTTGCACATAACAACAAGCATTACTTATATTTTTACTACCTGTTGACTGAGACCATGATACAATGAAAAGCAAAAAGAAAAAAACAAAGAAAAAAACTATGAACTCAGAAAACTATTAAATAAGTTTATTAATCCCGACAGGATTGGCATACACTTGACAGTATTATACAGGCGAGGAATCATGTCATCATTCAGGCTTCCGTCATTATGGTTTCAAGGACCATTATGTAATTTCACTCTGTACGCCCAATGCAGCCGCAGTTGGAAACCACGAAAAACAAGTCAATAGGTTCTAAGAGCCAGTACTTTTAAATCTAAAATACTGCTCTCATTGTTCCATCATTAAACACTATGATTCAGTGTTGTTACTATGGAATAGTTAGGGATGGTGAATTCACGCCACACACACCATTACCTGCTCATCTGGTACCCACACAGCAGAGGATACTGTTCTTTCCTACAGAGAATATTTCTCACCTCAGTACACCAGGAAGCTACAACCAAGAGATCCGAGGAGCCTGAATGCCATAAGCTTGACAAAAAGGAAACTTGGTTCTCTCCTACCAACACTAAGACGCTATCAGGAATGTTCAGAAGGTCAGTTGCTAGAGTTGTATAGACTTCAACCCATTTAAGAAATATAAAAGGATCAAAGCCCTCATCAAGACATCTCATTAGGGCTTCCCTGGTGGTGCAAGTGGTTGAGAGTCCGCCTGCCTATGCAGGGGATGCGGGTTCGTGCCCCGGTCCAGGAAGATCCCACATGCCGCGGAGCGGCTGGGCCCGTGAGCCATGGCCGCTGAGCCTGTGCGTCCAGAGCCTGTGCTCCGCAACGGGAGAGGCCACAACAGTGAGGGGCCCGCGTACCACACACACAAAAAAAAGACATCTCATTAAAGGCCTCATCAAGACCAAAATGACTCGTCTACAAGGGCCACACTGAAAAACCACATGCTGCAAACACTTTAGTACAATTCATTAGAACCAAATGGTATATGGGATTAGACAATGAGCCAAGAGTTTAAATTAATAACTGCAAACGAAGCTATAAATTGTAATCATAATACAAATAGTTATTCACATCTGTACTTACTTTTTGCCAGAATCAGGGACCCAAAGGCAACAACAATGACAAAGATGGCACAGATGGCATCCAGACGCACAGCGAACCATCGGGACGTAGTCAAAAACAAGAACCAAGCCTCTGGATTTGTGAAGTATAATAAGCATAATGAATAAGCAGAAGTATCATGGAGGCTGCTGCTAATGAGGGAGAGCATTTTGCACAGTTGAGCTACAAAAGATTTTTACACAAGGTAGGACAGCAAAGTTACATACGCAAGCAACCTAGAGATGACGAAAAGCTAGGTTCTGACACAAGACAACGTATGGTATACATAGGTATCAGTCCAGGGGCTTTGTGGGAAGAATGTACTAAAACCACAGGTTATAAACAGAATTACGATCATAATAATGAACATAGAAAAATGGTCTTGTTGGTGTGTTTGTTACAGTTCTGGGCCTCAACAGGAGGCTCATCCTCTCGCAGGGGTGACTGCTCCTAGTTCTCTGCAGGAGAGAGCGCAGCTCACACTCTGTTTCCAGCACCTTCTGCACTTACTACAGGGCCCTGCACAATGTTTATTCTTAGGAGCCAGTATCCAAACGACCATCAGCTAACAGGATCTGCAGGTGGCTTTCAAAATGCCATTTTATGTTCAAAATACAATAAAGATTGGAAAGTTGGGCCAGAATTTTATTGACTTAGAGGGAATTCTGGGTGGCAAATCTGATAAGAGAGAAATTATTTTCCTTCTTCAGGTCTGCCACCCTGTATGCTCTGAAAAGAGTCAGCAGGGGCCTCCCTGGTGGCGCAGTGGTTGAGCGTCCGCCTGCCGATGCAGGGTACGCGGGTTCGTGCCCCGGTCCGGGAAGATCCCACATGCTGTGGAGCGGCCGGGCCCGTGAGCCATGGCCGCTGAGCCTGCGCGTCCGGAGCCTGTGCTCCGCAACGGGAGAGGCCACGACAGTGAGACGCCAATAAAAATATTAAAAAAAAAAAAAAAAAAAAGAGTCAGCAAATTACAGCCTGAGGACCAAGAATGGCCACAACCTGCTTTTATAAATAAAGCTGTACTGGAACACAGCCATTTGCTGATGTATTATTTTTGTCTGCTTTAGTGTGGTAATAGATAGCAAAGCTGGAATTCCCTGGTGGAGCAGTGGTTAAGAATCTGCCTGCCAATGCAGGGAACACGGATTCGAGCCCTGGTCCGGGGAGATCCCACATGCCACGGAGCAGCTGAGCCCGTGCGCCACAACTACTGAGCCCACGATCCTAGAGCCTGTGCTCCACAGTGAGAGAAGCCACCACAATAAGAAGCCTGCACACGGCAACAAAGTGTAGCCCTCGCTCACTGCAACTAGAGAAAGCCCATGTGCAGCAAGGAACACCCAATGCAGCCAAAAATGAACAAACAAACAAATAAATAAATTTTTTGACAATTCAATTATTAAAATAAATAAATAGCAAAGCTGAGTAGTTGCAACAGAGACCGTGTGGCTCTTTGCTTAAAAAAAATAAATGGACAGAAGGCCACAGGGCACCTTGATGGAAGGACAATGCAAGCCACTGAGGGGAAAAAAGCAGGGGTGTGATGGGGAAGAGGGGAGCACAGAGGGGAGGCTGAGAGGAAGGGCTGGGGAGGCGCAGAGAGAGGTGTGGGCCGGCAAGGCCACCTGACAAGGACTCAAGCCTCAGAAGGCAGCACCTCCCATCCTCTGAAATCATGTCCAGAAACTTACAGACCTGAATGCAAGTCCTGATGTGCATCGAACAGTTCCTGAAACCTCTCTTCGGCTTTGTACGCCCGGATGGTCCAGAGTCCTTGGAGAGAAGATGATAAGTGGGAAAATACTGGGCTCCGAGCTGGGGAAGCAGAGAAAGACAAACAACAGAGAAAGTCAGGGAGACTCGATGCAAAGAAATCCACCGCCTTCCAAAGGGCCACACCCAAGGGCTTCCTGGAGGGCTTCCTGGAGGAAGGAGGATGACGCCCCTCTTCGGGAGAGGATCCTCCATGTGACCCTCCAACTCCTGCTCACACTAAGCTTCAATTTTATGACCTGGACATGAAAGATTCTCTTTAAAACCATCTTTGACCAAATTCAAATCTGACCTAGATTTAGATAATGAATCTCCATACTAACTCAATCATCAAGGGCCTCCTCAAACAGCGCCACATTCCAAATTCTTCCCTGACATCCCTCCAGGTAGAAATTACCTGAAGGTAATTACCTGTTCACTAAGTTTTGGTTCGGTATCATTTTAAAATTTAATTCTCCGTCAGAGTCCCTCACCACACTGAATTTTGATGAACTATCTGTGTGTTGTCTCCAGCTAAGATTAGAAACTTAAGGGCTGGCACAGGACAGAGGGGAGATAAGTAAGGTGAACGGACAGTCTGCCATCTCCTTCCATCCTGGGAATTTTCCTACACCTATGCCAAGAGTCACTTTGTGCGCCACGGAGCACCTGGGCATCACATGGCCCTTGTGCCCAGAGGACCCATGCAGTCAAGGGGGTCTTTGAATAGTTTCGACTTCTGCTCTGGGAACCTGATGGATGCTTTTATAGCTGCCCTACTGGATACTTGAGGCGTTTGGAGGCCACTGTGATATGTGACACTGATGTCACTCTTTTAGAATCTGACAGTGGCCATTCTCTTTCTAGTGACTACGCATGGGTGTGGGGCCTCGTGTCACATGACTGGCCATTCGCTTCCTGGAATCTTCTCTAAGAGCACACTGAACACGAGCACCAGGGTCTGGCTCCTGCACATCAGGGAACAGGTGGGTTGTAGGTTGCTGGCCAGGGACGACCCTTTTGGTTTTCATTCCCCACTGTGAAAGAGGCAACTTGCTTTTTCTGTGTGCAGATTCTGGGCCTGTGACCTTTCTGGGATGAGTGATAACTTTTCATTTACCAGCAGGCAATACTGACATCACTTCGTTACCTGTGCATCTCCTAGAAAAGACATTAGTTCTACCATGATGAAATATTGTATTTTTAAGAAAAGTATTTATGGAGTAGATGCTCTGTGTGAGGAAGTATGTCATGAGCAAGACAAACAGTCCCCTGTTCTCACGGTGCTCACATTCGTCCTCCTCATGCTAAGATGCAAAGCTGCAGCTGACCCGCCACCAGCTCCATTTGCCTTAAGGGTCACATGGACTCACAGTGGCCATAATATCCAATTACTTAATGTTAACTTAGTGAGGAGTTCCAGAAGACAGAGTCTGCAGAATTTCAGGGGTCTGGTTCATTACAGCATAAATGAAGCCAGCCTGAGTTGCCATCCCAACCTGAGAGCCCCGGGTACTCACTTGTAGATTCAAGGCGTTTCACATCCCTTGACGTCTGTAAGAAATATCTCCGGAGAACAAAGAAAATGATGCCAAGGGGAACCAGGGGTATTGCAATCCAAGGAATCACCGAAACCGCCACACCCACCACACCAATCACTTGTAGAAATGTCTGGAAGAGTGAAAACAGATACAGTAGCCTCTTTATCCAGCATTCTCTTCAAAAATAACCTTTAATGGGTTGTTTTGTTAGGATTAAACTCCTTTCTTCGAAGGACATGTTGGAATGGTAAGGAATGCTTTCCCATCCAAAGAAAGAAGAGGGGCTTCCCTGGTGGCGCAGTGGTTGAGAGTCCGCCTGCCGATGCAGGGGACACGGGTTCGTGCCCCGGTCTGGGAAGATCCCACGTGCCACGGAGTGGCTAGGCCCGTGAGCCATGGCTGCTGAGTCTGCGCGTCCGGAGCCTGTGCTCCGCAACGGGAGAGGGCACAACAGTGAGAAAAGAAAAACAAAGAAAGAAGAAAATTATAGGTGCTGCTCATGATATTTATTGCACGCTTACCACGTGACAAACTTTTTCTGAAAAATACCTATTTGTTTCTTTATGTATTTTTGGCTGCGTTGGGTCCTTGTTGCTGTGCACGGGCTTTCTCTAGTTGCGGCGAGCAGGGGCTACTCTTCTTTGTGGTGCGCAGGCTTCTCATTGCAGTGGCTTCTCTTGTTGAGGAGCACAGGCTCTAGGTGCTCGCTCGGGCTTCAGTAGTTGTGGCTCGCAGGCTCAGCAGTTGCGGCTCGTGGGCTTTAAAGCACAGGCTCAGTAGTTGTGGTGCATGGGCTTAGTTGTTCTGCGGCATGTGGGATCTTCCCGGACAAGGGCTCAGACCCGTGTCCCGTGCATTGGCAGGTGGATCCTTAACCATTGTGCCACCAGAGAAGTCTGACAAACACTCTTAATCTAAGCAAAAACTGGGATATACCAACAACATGAAAGGATGGTGATGGGAATTAAATGAGATACTGTATATAAAGTGCTTACCAGTTCACATATAACAAATATAAATTCTAACTCCCTTAATCGTGTTCTAGATTCAAGGAGCCAGGAGAGATGGGATGGTGTATTCATAGATTTATGGACCCAAAGAATCTTAAGAATCTCATGAGGTTGGACCCTGTTAGACAGTTCATTCTAATGACTGCAACAGCTTAGTACCATCCAAGGACATATCGGAGCAGGTGCTATTTTTCCTAGGTGTGGTAATGATGTCACCTGTACCGAAGTGACTGTGGCTTTTCTCTGGCCACAGAGAAAACTTGAATGTGAGGTCTATTCTGTTTGAAGACACACTTTTAAAATAATATGAACAATAAACCTCACCGTACTACAATTTCTGTCCCCTCTGTATTTTCTTCCCAACTCTAGGCCTTCCAAAGATCGATAACCTTAGGGGAATGGAGGCAAGTCACCATTTTTTGAGATGATTCCTATTCTATATCCTTTTTTTATTTCAAACTTTGCTTCTTATTAGTGGAAATTTACTGCTCTGAAATTGCGGAGCATTTCTTGGAGACTAAGGGGGAAAAATGGTAGACCTCTGAAGCACCAAAGCAAACCTGATTAAGAAGTAAATTCCAAACAGAGGATCAATTTGACATTTTCTCTTTCATGCACCATGAATTGGTGAGTTCATATCAATGGAAGTACAAAAGCTACATTTTGTAACCTAGTGAATCCCAAGAAATTTAACTGTGTCCATCCTAGGTCACCCTTCTTGGTGGAACGAAGCAGCCTTGTTAGGAGGTCAGGATGACTCAAGCAGAGGACACTGTCACCACCACCTGTGGAAGGGAGGTCTAAGGAGCACCTCTCATCCTCAGAAACGATGCTGTCCTGTGGGCAGCTCTTTCTGACAAACCACACTGTAAGCTAAATGAATTGTTGATCGAATATAGAAAAACAGTAAAGGAAAATAATAATAATAATAATAATAATAATAATAATAATAATAATGCTTTCTGGAAAATGTTAATGGTTTTGTTTAAAAACCTCCCCATTCCAAAAATGTGAAAACTAAGATAACTGCTGTATTGCTAGTGCCCATGGCAATTTTTTTTCATAATACTGAAGAAATTCCACAATTCTCTAGATCTGGTTGACAACCAAATAAATGGTGGTTATTACTGCACCCTCCAAATTATCAATAATGGATGACATTTCATGAGGCTTGCCATGGGTCCCACCTCTCTAGTATTTCACAAGCATTACTAATTTCATTCTCATATCACATCTGAGTACCAGAGATTATCCTTTCTGTTTACAAAGCTCAGAGAGGTTTGGGACTTTGCTCAAAGTCAGAGAATTTACTCATTTTGTTGCCAAGCCTGCTCTTTTAATCTCTGCCTGATACAGTATCCCACATACAGGTAAAATTCATAATAAAAAAATTAAGATCTAAATATACTCCCCTTTTATAATTTTCCCCATTTATATGCATTCTCTCCCATGCAGGGACCAGTTCTAGCTCCCTAGCTAATTAGAGCCTGATCAGCTCATACAGCAGGCTGATCATTAAAAGGTCTTAAAAATGATTGCTCATAGAACACACTAACATATTTTAATAATTAGTTTAAATTTTTTTTAAAAGTTGCATAAGAAAGCATAAAATACAACATGACTTAATTTTAATAAATACATAAACCCCAAGAATACAAGCATGAGGCTAAGGATTTTTTAAGTCCAATGTATACACTTGGATTAAAGTTCCCCCAAGGAAGTCTCTGAGTCTAGAATTAACACTATATTCTAATATGGCAGACTTTAACATATTCCTTTCACAAGCACAGTGTGAAATACGAGGGCCTGTTTGCCTGTTTGGCATTTAAAGTCCAAATTGCTTACAGTCCTGTAGGAATTCCTAGGTATCTCTACCCACATGTCACTTTAAACTTAATTCCATGGGATTCTGTTCCTGCCAGTCTCTGTGAAGCTTGTGCCAAAGAACATGCTTTCTATAAACACCAGTAAAAATGTATTCTTCTTACTTTATGCAAACAAATATGCCATCCATACTTCTGGCTCACTCCATTCTTATGTGAACTCTCTCACTCACTCTTGTATTGGGCTCAGTGTGAAATATGTATTTAATCATAAAATCACTTAATAAGTAGACAGGACTTTTATTATCTGTTTACAGGATTAAAAAATAAAATCAGCATCATTAAGATTGTTAACACCCCAAGAGAATTGCAAATCTTTGAATTTTGCTGTCAGTCAGACTCTTAAGAATTATATTCCAAGTTGTGATAAGTACAAATCGTCCAGATTGCCTTAAACTATTACTGATTTTTGCAGAAAATATGACTCAAGTGCAATAAACAAAGCAAGATTCACTTCTTGGCAAGAAAATACGGCAAGATTTTCTTCTGATTTAGGGAGATAAAAAATAATGCCCAGTTTTTGATCAGTGAGCTGTTTACTGATGTGGGTGTAGGAAAGATTCTTCTACCTATTTATTCTGGAAACATATGAGATTGAAAAAAAAAAAAAAAAAAGCCTTTCAATGAAATGACTATCTCATCAATTGTGCTGTTAGCTAACACAAGATTCTTGTAGAGGCAATAAAATCCTGAATGCCTACACGAAGCTCTTTAAGTATTAAGAAATAAAATGTAATTCCTGGGACTTCCCTGGTGGTCCAGGGGGGTTAAGAATCTGCCTTCCAAGGCGAGGGACGTGGGTTCGACCCCTTGTCCGGGAACTGAGATCTCACATGCCGTGGGGCAACTAAGCCCGTGAGCTCTGGAGCCCGGGCGCCACGACTAAGGAGAAGCCCACATGCAACAATGAAGAGCCCACGTGCTGCAACGAAGAGTTGACACAGCCAAATAAAGACATAAATAAATAGTTTTTAAAAACACAAAGAAATATAATGTGATTTCTATGAAACAATACTCCTTACCCTTCAATCACAGGATAAATAGAAGCAAAGGGAAAAAATAGGGAAAGCTCTTCAGTGCAAGCTCCTAAACTTAATACTAACCCTAGAGTTAATATTGAGTCTGCAGGTGTAAGGTGATATGGTACCTTGCATGTCTAAGGGAGTCTTCAGATCAGCTCTGGTTCCAGACCCCTCCTTTATCACATTTCTTTTGACCTCACCCAACCCAATTAACTCTTTTATATAAGAAAATGATAAAAAGTGGTGTATCTTATCTCTATGATGAGATCCATACACACTCTAATATTAATAAAGCTTTTCTAAACGTGTCCTTTCCTTAGGATTCACTAATCATGCTTTTCATCCCTCAGCTGACTGCCTTAGATCTTTTCAGATCCACACTAGCTGTGGAACCTGTGTAATCCTTCAGGTAGCCCTTAATCCTGAGTCACAGTTAACTCCACTGAAGAGTGAATGGTGGGGTTCGGTTTACAGTTTCTTAACCAACACAAGAGAAATGATTAGGGAAACAGAGTGCACTTCTCCCTTCCTTTGTGTTCAGCAAATCTCAACGATCAATAGCTTCCTTACTAACCTTTTTCAGTGTTTGAGCTTATTATGAAATTCAAGACTACAGTGCATCTATTTCCTATGTTTGAAAAGCACAGCTTAGAAATAACACCAAATAAAAGTGGAAATAAAATGTTGAACAATGTACCCCACATAAAAACTAACCAAAAGAAAGCTGGAGTATCTATCTAACATGAAGCTAGGAAGGATTCCTAGAAATAAAGGAAAACATTTCATAAGAATAAAGGGTCAATTTTATCTAAAAGATATTTTTAAAAGTCCAAACTTACATAATCCTAATAACACAGCTCACTAATGTATAAAGCAAAATCTGACAGAACTCAGTAGAAATAGACAATGCCATACCCATAGTGGGAGATTGAAACCCACCCATCTCAAAGACTGATAGAAAAAGCAGATAAAAATCAACGGAGATATAAAAGATTTTTAAAATGTCATTAATATATTTGACCTAATTAGGAACTATACAACACGGCAGTCAGTGATTACATAAGACATTCTTTTCAATTGCATATATCCTATACTATAAAGCAAGTATCAACAAACTTCAAGGGACAGAAATTGTACAGAATATATTCTGACCTAAGCAGATTTAACAAGAAATCAATAACAAAAAGGCAACTAGTATATCACTAAATATTTGGA